ATGAAAATAAAAAGTAAAGTTTTTTTTTTTTTTCATTTAACTTAAGATGTAGGTATTTGAGGTCCAGGAAGGGAGTGGTCCGCTGCCCTTGCTTGTCACGTGAATCTCGTCATGTCTGACAGTGAAGACGCAGGTGCATGTTGGGAATCAACCGTTCAATATATACTCCTTGCCTTGGGAGGTAGGGCAGTGCTAGCAATAAGGTAGTGAGAAAATAAGAATACCAATACGTGGAAGTTGAAGAATGAGGTGCAGGAGTGAGAGGCTCTCCTTTAATTAATCAGTTGCTCCGTCGTTAATTAACTTGTTTGCCTGTGTGGGGAGCACAGAGCATTGGAGTTCTAAGAGGAGAGACCAGCTATGTTTTGTTAGTGCTAAATTCCTATCACCTAACGCAATGGTTGGGATTTTTTTTTAATGAGTGAATGAATGAATGAATGCATTTTATGTAAGCAGAATGAATGAGAATCTTCTGCTAGCCATGAAGGCTGCTCTTCCAAAGACCAAACAGTAAAGCTTAGGGTGAGAAGTCCAAGGAATGATATTGAACATTTTACTTCTTTAATTTCCTTTAAAAACTCTTCATGGATTCAGCTACGGAATACAAAGGACTGATGTGGGATTGGCAGCTGACCATGAAGAGGACACAGGCAGAGTACAGTTGCTGATGTAGGAGTGTTGGGACGCTTAACCAGTTCAAGTGGGGTATGTGGGTTATGCGTATGACCGGAAGCGCAAGTAAACCTGAGCGGGCCGAGTGTCCTTACAGCATGAAGCTCAACAAAGCAGGCGGGCTGCAAGCTCTGAATGCCTTTGCTCTTCCCTGTTGGGTACACAGCACCTGCCACAGTGCCTGATACGGAGGCGGATATGCAGTCTTTCCTGTGTGAATGAATGAATGAACTAATGAATGAGAATCAAGGAGACAGGCTGAGCTTTTCTGGGTTACAGGAGAGACCAGGGCAGTGTTTTGGGAAGTTGATTTCTGATATACAGGACAGGACACAATCAGAAAGCTGGATGTTTGTGGCAGTCCGGACCTGAAGTCCATGGCCCAGCACGGACTCCAGTACGGGGCTAAAGCCAGAGGGGCCATGTACGTCAGGACAGAGAATCTTCTGCACATTTGAGGACCTGCACACAAGGACCCGAAGAGCCCAGGGCAGGAGGATCTGGGAGTTGAGAGGAAAGAGGGGAGGGGAATGTCGGACAGATACCCATTTGCCCTGTTGAGTTTCCAGTGGTGATGGTGTCGGTACGGCCTGTATCGGAGGGCCAAGCAGCAGCACAGATGCACAGCTCAGGACCCAAACACCGACAGATGGTGATGGAAACTGTAGGAGCAGATGCTCATTTAAGGGGTTAAGCACAGAGGACAGACACAGGGGACAACAGGTAAAGGCCATGCTGTAAACCATCATTTAGAAGATGGAAGATTCGAAAGAGTTTAACGCAAACCCAAGAGAGTTACAAGGAGAAGAAATAACCCATAGTGTTGCAAGCACTTTTTTTTTAATTTATTTTTTTTTAATTATGTTAGTCATCGTACATGATGTCATTAGTTTTTGATGTAGTGTTCCAAGATTCGTTGTTTAGGCGTAACACCCAGTTCTCCATGCAATACGTGCCCTCCTTAATACCATCACCAGGCCAACCCATTCCCCACCCCCGTCCCCTCTGAAACCCTCAGTTTGTTTCTTGAAGTCCACAGTCTCTCATGCAGTTAAAGAAAATTGAATCTACTCATTGCAGTTGGTCAAGAGAGAGCTGGAATGTCCTAAGGAAAGCGTGTGCTGACAGAGGTTGCTATCCCAGAATATGAAACCGGATTTTAGCCATTTAAAAGGGAGGAATGAACCAAAATATCTTTTCTCCTGGAGTTGCCATTAGCTGTTTCCAAGTAAAAGATTTATCAGTGAACGTATTGTAACTGTGCAGCCTTTTCTCATTATTGAACTATTTAAATACCAACTACTTTTTAAAAGATTTTATTTATTTATTTGACAGAGATCACAAGTAGGCAGAGAGGCAGGCAGAGAGAGAGGGGGAAGCAGGCTCCCCACTGAGCAAGGAGCCCGATGTGGGGCTCGATCCCAGGACCCTGGGATCACAACCTGAGCCGAAGGCAGAGGCTTTAACCCACTGAGCCACCCAGATGCCCCAGATACCAACTACTTTTAATAAGGGTGAAAAAGCTACTTGAAGTCTTGCTTTTTAAATTCAGTGCACTGCCTTATGAAGGACACTTCTGTAAACAGAAGAAAAAATGTATTGGGTTATAAATACATCATAGTGATAAGGCTAAGATACACAGAAGCAATTTCCTATCAAAATAATCAGCTTACCTAGGATACTTAAATATCCCTGCCTCTCTTTATCAGGGGAATAATAGGTTTGCTGTACTTAGTTATATTGACGCAACATGAACAAATGTGTAAAATCACATTTCTGTGTAGAAAGGAAAATTTTTTATAACCAACTGCCTCAAATTAATTTTGAACTCTTCGTATGTTTATAATTTGTGTTTATTTTACTACTTGGGTGCTTTAAATAATATTTGATATTATTATTATTTTAATATTTTATATTATTGTCAGTCAATATTTCGGTGATTCAGGAGCTAGTGTGTTTTAATGTGTGCGTGGATTAACCAGGTTTTATAGGAGTTTGAACAGATGGTTTTCTTGGGCACTGTTTAATTTGGTGGCATTTTTGCAGTAGGTAAAATTAGGGTCAAACTATGATGATTAGTATCATTCATCATGAACAACCAGTTTTTGTGGGTCAAAAATAGCTAGCATAGAGATTTAAAAATAATAATTCTGGATGTCTACTTCTTTACATAAACAAATCCATAATAAAAAATCAGCTTTGCTTCTATTTATAATAAAAGCCGCATGGTATTCATATATGAAGATATCGTATTCATACATCAAAAAATTTTCCAGACCGTAACTTATGGCCAGATCATAAGATCAATAAATGGTCATTCGCGAGTCTCCACTGGCTCGGTGTAAAAGGTATTATGGCTGGTGGCTAGGTCTATAAAATTTCTTGTATCATCTTTGAACAACTTTGTACAACCACACTTTATTTCCTTTGTGTTGTGTAATCTTGAAGGATTTCTAAAAGATTCTGTATCCCGTTTTCAGGTGCACAGGAGACTGTCATTTAAGAAGCATCCCAAATTGAGGCCACCAGATGTTTCCTTCCATAGTAAATCAGAGAACAAGCATAATTTGAATATTCTGCATATATTTACATATCGATGTCAAGAGTCCCTAACTCCAATTATGTAAAATAAAATTAATTAGTGCAGCCTACTGCAAAGCCCATATTCAAATCCAATATTCGGGGCAAGATAGCCTGGAAATACCTAGCACATCTTAAAGCCAATTAGCTCCCTGTCTTCTGGGAATGGGAGGGCTGGGCAGACACACCTACCCGGGTGCCTCCAGGAGAGCCTGGACATAGGAGGAGGCACTCAGACATAGAGAATCAAAGTCAAGGCTGATGTGTCCTGAGCTGCTGTGGCCGGTTCTCTTTCCCCATGGAAATTGCAGCTGCGTGTTATTTACAGATCCTGCAAATTCTTCTCGTGCTCCTGTGAGAATCGAGGGGTCCTCACTGGAGGTGCTCATCGAGGGGTGCTAATTAGAGTCCCGCGTCCAGCCCCAGGGAGCAGCCAGGAGGACGGCCAGTGGCTGCTTCCTGGTGGTCAAACCACTGTTTCCCTGACCCAGCATTTCCTCGGCTGTGCGCCGCCCCGACCTTTCCCCTTCCTTCAGGGGCCTTGCGCAGCTCTGATGGGTCCTCAGCCCCAGTTTGGTCCATCACACATGCTTAGTCTCTGTGGGCACACGAAGAAGCTTCTGCCTTTCAAGTTTGTGAGGGTAGCCGCGCTCGAGTCATTAACTGCCCGAGGCTGGAATTTCTCCTGCCATCGAGATGTCTTCCTTTCTGTTGTCTATTGTAAAGATTAAGTAAAATATCATCGCTAAGTGTCCAAAGCATAATACATATCCCAAAAAACCGCTGGCTTTGCTCCTTTCCTTGGAGGTTTAGTCCAGATCAGGTAAGTCTGTGGACTCAGGGTAGCCAGGTACTGCCTACCTTTGCCCTTTGTGTCTCCTCCATTATATTTCCCTCATTTCCTATTTGTGCCCTAAGGGCCCGGCATACCTGGGCCCTCCTTGCATGGCCGCTGGACTGTGGGAGGTAGTGGCAGTGGCTAGACAGAAGTGACACTTACGGCAAGATGTGGATGACTCAGAATCGGGGAAATGTATGTACCTGGCAAGCAAGCATCTGGGCTCCCTCCTGTATGATTTGTATTTACTTCAAGGTGCCTGGAAGAGCTGATGCAGTCCCGGCATTTGCAAAAGAAAAAAAAAAATCATTTAGAGGAGGTTCTGCCCCATTCTCTCTGCCCCCTGTCCTCAATGTCAGGGACGAAATTGGGAACTCAGAAACTATCATTGGAAGTCGATGTTTGTAGATGTCATGTTAAATTAAGTCCAGGGAAAATCCTGGGGAAGACCCGAATATTTCATCTGGACTGGTCACCTGTGCTCTGGCACAGACCGACTCTAAACAGAGACAGCTCTCGGCCTCAAAAAACCTCCTGCTAATATGTATATCTGAGAAGGCAATTCGACCCCAGTTAATCTAGACTAGCACCATCCGAACGGGCGGGTAACCTGTTCATGAAATGCACAAAGTGATGCAACCTGTTCATGAAATGCACAAAGTGATGCAACCTGTTCATGAAATGCACAGGGTGATCTATTGGGTTGAGGGAAAAAAAAAACCAAGCTTGGAATGATATTTTTATCTTACCCTTTTAAAATTTCTTTTTGCACATATTGCATATACTCCACCATACAGTAGAACGCGTGTCTAATTAACGAATGCATTTGCATACACGGGGGGCTCCGTTTTTGAGGCGGTCGGGGTGGAGATGGTTTCGGTGACTAACGGAACTGTCTGTCTGCTTCCAGACTGCAGTCTTGTACTGGCTCCCCCAAGCTAACTTCAGCATGCTCAAACGGAAGCAGAGCTCCCGGGTGGAGGCCCAGCCGGTGACGGACTTCGGTCCCGATGAATCTTTGTCAGACAACGCTGACATACTCTGGATTAACAAGCCAGTAAGTTCCTTTTTGGAAGAACGGAGAAGCGCGTGCTGATATAAAGGAAATTGGATCATATAATTCAAAAATCACGTAACTTTGGCTTTGAAATGGCTGTTTGAGGTGCAGTAGAATATGGATGAGTCTCGAAGTCTGGAAGTGGAGAATCATTCAGATGAAATAAAGAGGTGCCGCGGGGGGTCATACACACAGGCAGGTCTGCTAGGTGGTCTGCTCCCTCCTTTCCCCCTCCATGCTCGCCGTCCCCAGAGTCACACCGTACACTGATACTGCTCCTTCTCAGTCCGAGCCAAAGCTTGAGTCCCACATGAGTCATCTCTTCTATCATACTTCCATGAGATCTCAGCACGCATGAACACATGAGGGGATTGTCAGATGTTTGGAATTAGAGGTCGCCTTCAGAGTGGCAAGTGTTGGTTGACTCAAAGGAAAGGTTAATGAGATAGTGGGTAGTGTCTCTGGAGAATTGCGTCACCTTCTCTGCCTAATGAAGCCAAGGAGAACGTGGGGGGAACATCTAGAACAGTGTCACTGGGGTAAATAGTGTAGCAGCCAGAAGGAGGAAGGGCATGGTCATGGGTCTTGCAAGCTCAGCCCAACCACAGAGAGCAGGCTCCCCTTCAGGACTGGACTCCCAGCAGAGGCCGAAGTAAGGGAATGAGCTGTTCCCCGCGCACTGATTGTCTTTCCCTTGACCAGGACACAAGTCATCTGCCTGTCTCCCTGCCCTCTCCAGGCTTCTCCAGCTCATCTGCCCTCCTGACCACATGTCCAGCAGGCTCAGATTTCTTCCTGCCTTTCCCCTTCTGTTCACATTGCCTTTCCCTTTGTAGTCATTGCAACATCTCTCTTCCCTACATTGTTCATTAAAATGGGTTCGCTGTGCAGGGAGGACTTTTTCTAGTCTGGCTCTCACTGCCAGCAACGGTTCTTTCCTGGATCTGCACACACTGGCCCCTGGAGCCTCACCAGGGTCTCCCTGTTCTTCCGGGATGTCCAGCCAGTTCACACTGTTTTCCTGCCCGGAGGCCTTCCCTAGCCTCTGATGAGTCAAGTCCTCCTGACCCATTAAGGGCTGGCTCGGATGTCAGCCCACCCCTGTTGGCGTCTAAAGGCTTCCTCGTTTGACCCTCTCCACCACACACAGAATGAACCTTTTCTCTTTCCGCTTATCCTATTTTACCATTGTATGTAACTAAAAACGTATATTGCATGTATAATGTATAATGTATAATGTATGTGTATGTTATGCCTACCCGACTGCTAAGTAGTGATGAGTCAGAAACGTGCTTAACATTTTTGTGGCCCCAGAGCCCCACAGAATTTCTTACGCATAGGAGGTCTGCCATTCATGGCTAGAGAATTGAACAGGATGGAGAATAAGCATTCACTAACTTTTTTCTTAGTGTCCGCCACATATAAGCCTTTCTGAGAAGCTCTGAGGAAGGTAGCATTATAGATATAGCCTTGGAAGCACTAACTAAAATGATTAATGCTTAATTAGGATACTTTCTTTAAATTCAAAATAGATTCATTGTGGAAGAACCCATCTTTTGAAGCTCTTTTGTGTAATTAGATCCTTTGTGTTGGAGATCCAGATGGGGCTAAATTCGCACACTGATATTTATTGAAGAGTTTCCAAATTGCATGAAAATACATCAACCCTTAAAATGAATTGAGTCATCGGTGACTTCCGTGATATAGAATACATGGCATTATGTCTTCATGCAAATATTATAACTGTCAGATTAATATTATAACCCACTCACCAGCCTACAAGTGTCTGAGTCTCCTCAGAATTCTGACAGTTTTTTCGATTTTTCATCATGGGTCTATGCTAATTTGCACAGCCAAGAAGACATCCACCATGAAACCACGACATCTTTTTTGGAGTGAGGGGAGGGGAGTCTAGTATTAAAGGATTAACATGACTGCAGATATATCCAGCATCATCAATAAATAACACATTTCCATTATGTTAAGTATTGTGTACTAATTAATTAACTAGTAAGATTAAGTGTGTGTGGGTAGCATGCAGATGCAAGGAATATTATAATTATTATAATTAATATTATATTACATAATATTATAATTAATATTATAAGTCTAGGTGTTTGTTTTTATAATAAAATACTGTATGTGAGTGATCTTATTTCTTACACGTATACACGTAGATGCACACACATGTGCATATACATGTTTATCTATTATTTCTACTCTTTATGCTGAAGTTGAGGAAAATCTTTGAACAGCATGTGCATTCCTAGAATTGCACAGAAACTTACTTTTCGGAATTTTGGGAAAGCTCCCAGGGCTAAAATTGTACAAAACATTCTCTAAAATAGTAAGTCCATATTGCAAATGTAGGATGAGGTCAGATTTCGAAATATATTTTTTATACAAGAATATAAATACAAGATACAAGATATAAATGGAAAGATAACCGGACACATGGGAAATGTTACGTGTCAAGTCATTTTTTAAAATGTTGGCAATCCAGGAGGATAGACCACTCTTCTAACGACCAGGGAAGTTACGGTAAGTAAAATATAATTCTAGGTGCTCATAATACATAAAAAGTATAAAAGTAATGGCACATGACATTTCTGTATGAGTAAAGTACTGACCCATGTATTTTTTTTCTTTTCAGCATAACAGTATTCATTGTTTTTCCACCACACCCAGTGCTCCATGCAATCCGTGCCCTCTCTAATACCCACCACCTGGTTCCCCCAACCTCCCACCCCCCGCCCCTTCGAGACCCTCAGGTTGTTTTTCAGAGTCCATAGTCTCTCATGGTTCACCTCCCCTTCCAATTTCCCTCAACTCCCTTCTCCTCTCCATCTCCCCATGTCCTCCATGCTATTTGTTATACTCCACAAATAAGTGAAACCATATGATAATTGACTCTCTCTGCTTGACTTACTTCACTCAGCATAATCTCCTCCAGTCCCGTCCATGTTGCTACAAAAGTTGGGTATTCATCCTTTCTGATGGAGGCATAATACTCCATAGTGTATATGGACCACATCTTCCTTATCCATTTGTCCGTTGAAGGGCATCTTTGTTCTTTCCACAGTTTGGCGACCATGGCCATTGCTGCTCTAAACATTGGGGTACAGATGGCTCTTCTTTTCAGTACCTCTGTATCTTTGGGGTAAATACCCAGTAGTGCAATTGCAGCTGACCCATGTTTTAATGGGATCAGAATCTCCTTATATTGTGGCCCAATGCCTTGGGAAGGTCAGAGGCACTGAAGTAACCTGCTCAGGTTCACACAAGCCCTTGGCTCTCATTAACTGCGGGAGCATGGAAAAGTCTCTTAACCTTTCTGCCTTCATGTGTGCATGTGGAAATTAGGCTGCTTTCAGATGTAAAATATGGAATGTAAATGATGTAAAATATGGGATGTAAAATGATGTAAAATGATGTAAATGTATGTAAATATGGGAATGATGTAAAATATGGGAAAATATTTAGCACATTGTATGCACTTAACAGACATGAGTTTCCTACTCTCTCTTCTCCATCCCAGTGAAATATTTTAATCTCGAGATTGTATTTTCCAAATAGTGTGGTTTATAATGTAAGGTTAAGGCCTCATTTTGTGGTGTCAAATGAGAACTCTGACCCTCTTTTGCAGTGGGTTCACTCTTTGCTGCGCATCTGTGCCATCATCAGCGTCATTTCCGTCTGTATGAACACGCCCATGACGTTCGAGCACTACCCTCCTCTGCAGTATGTGACTTTCACTCTGGATACTCTGCTGATGTTTCTCTACACGGCAGAGATGATAGCAAAAATGCACATCCGGGGTATTGTCAAGGTGAGTGTTCTAGAACCAAAATGCTTTGAAAATCTAAGTTAGTTTAATAGTATTTTCAGATTAATTTCCATCAAACAAAACGTCTCTTTATCCATCCTGTAGTTTTTTAAAATAGGGCATAACTCCAGAGACTGGTGAAAATATGATGTGTACGAATATTTAAAAAGTGAAATAAATTGTGTAAGACACAAAGCCTTGGGATATCCAGGAAGGAGAGAGAGAGAGTCGGCCTGTAGGCTTCATGGCCAGAATAGGGTCGATTATGCCACCTCCCGGGGAAACCTGTGGCTTGGCACAGGGACGAGTCCAGGCGTGGCACCTGCGGCTTTACAGGATGTGGAATAAATGTTACCTGATGAAGTTACAGTGTGACGACACTCCGGGATGTCATTAACCTGAACTGTCCTGAAGGTACAAAGGAGTGAAAAGCAAGGGCATGAGGTGGAAAGCAGGAGTATAGGAAAAGGAAGGCATGGCATGTCAGTGGAACCATTGGGAGACAAGAAATAAATGAAAGAAAAAGGAAAAAGAAAAAGCAAAGGAAGAAAAGTTCTGTCAAAGGATATCTTCTGTGTATTCCTAACCTGCACACAGAGGATAAAAATAGGTAGACGACACTTTCTCTGTGATGTATTTGAAATTATACTATTTAGGGAGCCAGTGGTATAAGGAAATCGCAGAAGGGACAGTAAAAGTCTGCAAATGACAGATTTGACTCAAATCCTAGCTCTTCCTTTACTGGCTATATCAGCATCTCCAGTTACATAATTTTGGTGGAAAAGGGCCTTATTTTGTACTAGGACTTCAAGATTCTAATGAGATGATGCATAACATGAAATTACTTAGGGTCAGTGCATCTCTCTATGCATAATTCAATGTGTATCATCCTTAAAACATAAGGGTCACAGTCAGCACATTACTTTATTTTCATTTTTAACCTTTTGAAAACCTTTTTATTATGGGAAATTTTAAGTTTACTCAAAAGTAGAGATTATAGTTCTCATGAATCCCTATAACTCAGTATCAACAGTTATCAATATTTGGCCACTTCTTTTCATTTTTAAGCAAGTCTCAGAAACCAGGTCATTTCAGAAGTAACAGCTCATGCATTACTGTCTGAGACACTTTATTTTTAACATAACCATCATGCCATTATTGCGTCTAGCAAAATTAACAACAATTTCTTAATGTATGCCAGTACCCAAGTCATAGACATATTTTCCAAATTGTCTCAAACATTTCCTATTATAATAAGTTAGCTTCTTTGAATCAGGACTCAAATGAGCTTTAAGAAATATATTTGTTATATTTTTAAATCTCATTTAAGTCTCTTTATGCCCCTTAATTCTCAACCCCACATATCCTGCAAAAAAAAAATAGAAAAATATGACTAAAAAAAAAGAAAAAAAATAAATTAAAGGTTTGTTTACTCTTCTTGTTGGGAATATGAGCTCTTGTAGAACATTCTACATTCTAGATATGACTAATTGCTTCCTGATGGTTCCATTTTTAGTTTCTATATACTCCATATTCCCTGAACCATTTTGACTTTGACCAGCGATGTACACAGGTGCCTCTTTCCCCAAGCAGTAGCCACAAAATGGTTTGTAGAACTTCTGGGCCTTTGCCAATCTGATGGGTGAAAAATGATAACTCAGTGTAGTTTTAGTTTGAATTTCCCTTTTGAGAATGAGGTTGATTTGAGCACGACTGTATACAAAGGCCATTTTCAAGTTGTTATTATTTTTCATTCAAGGTTTGGGTACTCTTCTTGTTGGGAATATGAGCTCTAGGTGATGTAAATTACATTTACTTTTCCTCTTTCATGATTATCTTTGCTCATGACTATTCAGGCCATGCACATTTCCTGTTCCGGATCAGAAGCTCTTTCCATCCTATCAACGGGAATGTTTTACACTTCTCCTTATATACATTTTGCATATTTTTTGTTATTTTTGTGCTTTGTTATGTTATTTCATCTTTTCGCTGTCACTATGGGGTCTTCTATAAAGTGTTCTAACTTGCTGTTATTCTTTTAAATGAAGGCTGTTGATTTTTATGTGCTAATATTATTTCTTGCTACTTTACTAAATTTAATAAATTCTTGTACTGTTTATAGTAGTTTTCCCATTAATTCTTTTATCTTTTTATTTGTCTTTTTATTTCCATTTCAGATGTCTCTCTCTTTCTCGCTCATTTATTGGGTCAGCTCAATTTTAAATAGTATGAGAGGCAATGAACATCTTTGTTTAACCCCAGGCATATTTAGACCATCTCTCATGTTTCCTCATTAAATAATCTGAAGGATTAGGGTTTGAAGTAGGTACATTTTATCAGGCTAAGATAACAAACATTAATTCCAATTTTTGACTATTGTATCATGAATAGCTTTTAAATTTTGTTGAATGATTATTTTTCTTTTTAGCTCTTGGAATAGAGTAGATTTCCTAATATTGAACCATCCTTACATTCCTGGAAAAAACTGAGTGGGGTCACGGCACAGTTTTATTCTGTTTTAATGTGCTATTTGATGACATTTGTTATTATTTTCATTGTTTTAACTTTGTCTAATCTTTTTCAAGTTTTGATATTAGATTTTTCATGTATGTGTGTACACTGTTATGCTCTAAAATAGTCTGAATAATCTTTAAAAATTTTGGTACAAATCTCCTATGAAACCATCTAGTTCTAGTGCTTTTTTTTGGTGGGATTCCTTTCTATTTCTGTTTCTTCTATGGAAATTGTTCTGTTCAGACTTGCTTGGCCTATGGGTTCTGTTTGGTGATGTATACTTTTTTAGGAAATTATCGACTGTTTATTTTGTTGAATTTATTAACAGAAGATTGCATTCAGTAATTTTAATTTTCTCTGTTTGATTTATACTTCTTCCAAATTTTGAATTTTTTTTAGATTAGAATTTATTTTGCTTGGGTTGGCTAGTATTATTTGATTGTTTTGTTTTGTTGCATTTTTTTTTTTTAAGATTGTATTCATTTATTTGAGAGAGAGAGAGCATGATGGGGGGAAGGGGTGTTGGGGCAGAGTGAGAGGGACAAGCGCAATCCCAGGACCCTAAGATCATGATCTAAGCCAAAGGCAAACACTTAACTGACCAAGCCACCCAGGCTCCCTCATTTTGTTTTAGATTAGCCAATTTGTTTACTTATCTTGTTGATTTTTAAAAAGAACTGGCGTATTAATTCATTTGAACTCATTAATTTTTGCTTTTACTTTTCTTTTTTTTCTTTCTTTTTTTTGCTTTATTTGGTTTACTTTTTTGGTCTGTTTCCAGATTTTTGACGGTGTTTCACATTTTCATTTCTCAAGATTCTTAAACACGTTACTTCATTGCTTCTGGTATAAATGTGGCTGTGAGAATGTTTTTTCCTTCTTTGTGATTGGATCTTTCTCTTAAATACTGAGAGTCTTTCCCTTTATTATTGAACTCAGTAGATCTATGAGAATATGTCTTTTGTTGACCATTAAGAACATAGGCATGTCATACGATATTTGTTTTATTCCATTCTGTCTTCAGGATTTCTTTTCATATCCTAGTTACACCAGATCATGTTTTGGTCATTTATTTCCATCATTTTCTTTATGTGTGTTTTTTTTCTTTTTTTCCCCCCTATTTTTAATCTTTCCTATAGTCTATTCCCTTATTGTACTCCCTATGCTGTCTATTCAATCTTGTGTTCCTTTAAGTTTACTTCTCTTTCTGAAATGTTTTTTTTTCATTTCTTTCTAATTCTGATTATTTCTTGAATGCTTTTCTGTCTTTTTTCACAGTCTCCTATTGTTTTGACATAATTTCCGTTGTTCCTTTTTTCCAATTCTGTTGTACTTTTGTAGCATCTATTTTTCTTAATTTCTTTTGATCACTTTGTTATAGTCACTACAGTCTTTATCTGCTTTGTATGCTTATTTTTTTGCATGTATTATACATTATTTGTGTGTTGTGTACATTATTTGGTTCATTTATATATGTATATGGACTTGATATTATATACATTTATAAATACAATTATAATATATTCATAAGGACTTGATCATAATCCTTTTGTTCCGTTACCTTTCTTGCCATTGCTCATTTGAAATCTGAGTTTCTCCTGCTTAATGGGTAGAGTAGCTTCCATATATTATCAGTTTGAAGGTTCCTTCCCCTGTTTTACCATAAAATATAAAATATATAGCTTCTCTGTGCAGCTCCCATCCCAGGTGTGAGCTCTGCCTCCTCTGAACTGCTGGTCCTCTTATCTAATCCGTGTTATCCTTTGTCCCTCCTGTCCCGGCCCTAGCCTATTCAGATTCTACTCCAGGAGTTTTTCTCTAGCTTGGGTCTCTGTTCTCCCGGAAAGGGGTTTTTATGGGATCCACTCGAGAGATTAGGATGTTCTGTCACCTCTGATCTTTGCCCAGCCCCTTGGTGGGCATTTTGTCTTTGTTACTGTTTAGTTCTTTTGTTTCACATTCACCTGCCATTGATAGACTGTTTTGTTACCTTTTGAAGGATTTTGCCCTTTATTCTCAGGGTCACTGTCTGAGGCTTCCACTAAGTGTTTTGCTAGTATTTATTACTAGTTTTTGGTGCTGTGAAATTCTCAGATCAGCCAGAACTTCCCCGCACGACTTTCCTCTACAACCTTCCCAAGCTGGGGTCTTGAGTAGGTGTTGATATTGTCAATAGTTTGGTCTTTATTTTGGAATACATTGTCAGTTTTATTCGAGACTATGTCCATGGATATGTTTTTCTGTGCTATCTCACTGTTTTGTTTTCTTAGGAAATTTGGGAGATTCAAAAAAACTACCATCATGATCTTACCCAGATTGAAGTTAATCGTTCAACCTCTACATAGTTTATTTAGCATATACTTTGTGTCTGGAGAAAGAAACAAATTCTAGCTGTCTTCCCCCCCCCCCCCAAGAAGGTGGTGGGAAGTCTCCTGGGCATATTGAGTGGTTGAGGCCCTGGGAGATCAAGCTTAGAAAGTATACTCCAG